AGCTTTATTATGCCTTAACATGATTTTTATTATTATTATCATTATGCTTGTTATTATGTTGCTTGATTTATATTTATTGTTATTGCTTTATCACGCCTTTATGCTTGTTAAAGGGAATTTGTATTTGAAATCACGCTTGATAAGATAATTAATAATTTTGTTTAGACTAATATGATTTTAATTCAAGTGATCGCCAATAATAGTTTTATTTGTGCATTAATATTCAACTAACGTAGATTAAACAGGTTTAGGGCTAAATCTAATGATTGCATGTTAGTCGAAAAGCGCACATGAATACGAGCAGAACAAAGTAGAGGCCTATTTTATAGGGCGGGTCCTTTCTTTTGTAGTTTTGATTCGTACCCTCATCCCCGAACCCTGTTTGGTTCCAGACCTTATGGAGTTGACGATCTCTTAGATCGTTTTGGGTTTACAAGTTCCTAAAACTTGTTGGCGACTCTTTTACTCTCTTTTCTTTCCCTTTGGACACTACCATACTTAAGTGTATGATCACAGTGGGGTTCAAGCTTCGGGTTATGATGCATGAAATATTCCCTACAAGGGCGAAGGCAACTTCACTTGGCTAGGTGTTTCTAGATCTTGTGAATGCGGAATTGTGTTTGTAAAAGCTATTTTAGAAAGAGAGAGAGAAAGAAAGCATGTATTGCTCAAGAGAGAAGAGAGAGAATTAGGTGATTATAGATTGTAGATGATTTCAAAATGAAGGTCCAGAGACCCTATTTATAGAAAAATAGTATAGAAAATAGATCGAGTTCAACACGGAATAAAACTGCCACCTGTCACCAGACGACAGGATCGTCGGCAGGCGACAGGCTCCGTTGCCAAGCGACGCACTGCGCTGCGTGGGAAAATACACGTTATGTACGCGGAATCCACTTCTCAATATAATTAAGTCGTCAAATCCGTGTTTAAAGGGTAAAATCGTATTTTCGTAAAAACACTTATTTTGTTCCAAGTAACTCTAAAACATAATTATCAATCCTAACTCCATTAGGATTTAAGAGAACCTTCTAGAACATTCGAGCAGACTATAATCAATCCTAATAGCTTTAGGAATGGTAATTGACAATAGGCCCTCCTCTAGATCATTGGGCCGTATGTAAGAATCAAACCGGGCCCAGTTTAGTATTTTGACCATAACTTCCTCAATATTCATCGGAATAGGGCTTATAATATATCGTTGGAAAGCTCTTTTCGAGCCCTATCCAACTACACCTTTATTGGACCCTTATCATTGACCAAACTAAATTGTATTGGACGTTTTCATAAAATAGAGCAGGTTTTCGAAAACAGAAAGAAATTTTTTTAATAAAAACTAACCGCAACACTAGACTTTTCACACTTTCACTTCATTCGATTATGGTTCGACGCAAAAGGTATTCATCAATGGGTTTGGTTTTGGGGAGACACAAATGGGTGTCTACATTATTATTATTATTATTGTTGTTGTTATTATTGTTATTATCATCATCATCATCATCATCATCATCATTATTATTATTATTATTATTTTAGGCTATAAGGGTTTAGATTATTAGGATAGTTATTTGTTTGATTCAGTTATGTTAGGATTGAATTAGTAGTTGGTTACAAATATGATTAGAGGATAAATTAAGAATAAGATTCTTATTCTATCTTATCTTAGTGTTATGATTATTAGTTTCCTATATTATCTTAGCAAGGTTTTTCGCTCTATAAATGTAGGTGCATATAAATAAAGGTTTTTTTTTTTTTGGAGAATGTGTGTTTTGTTTTATTAGTAGGAATTAATTCTCTGAGTGTTGCTTTTTTAAAGAGTGTGTGTTTTGCTTTATTAAATTAGTAGGAATTAATCCTCTTAGCGTTGCTTGTTTGATCTGTGATCATCTTCTAGTTGTGACTAGAAAGTGACCCTCTATTATTATTTAAAGGATTAAAGTACTATCCCTTTAATTTTTGTGTTAATTCTTTAGATTTTGCTAAAATTTGAAGATCTAGTGTTATTATATAGCTTACAAGCCTTATTATGTATGGATTTCAATTGTAATTATTTAACATTTCAATTACTATTTTAATTTTGCCAAATACTCGTACTATTAACAATTACATTGACAGCTAACCTGGTTTGTATCCACTACTTATTGACAACTAAGATAAGATTCGTCAAACCCTTAGAGTTTTTAACTTTTTAAGTCTTTGTTTAAGAGAATAACTAGGAGTATTGCTAAGGTTCGTTTCTTGAATTGCTTTTGGGAGTATTAAAAGTGAAAGTCTGGAATAAGAGTTTTAGATCTTGAATGTTGCTAATTGAAACCCTAAAATAGGCTGAAATGCGGAAGGGATTAAAAATGAAAAGAAAACTGGCACACCAAAAAGGAAAATGACAAGCCATGTCAACTTATGCCGCTCGCGGTAAAAATATATCGTTAGAAATATCTAGAAATATAGTTTCTAAAAAAATTCAAATTAGGTCAAAATCATTTGTATGTTTTAAGATATGGACGCTTGAGTACAAGGATGTCGATTTTGGGTCTAGGGTAGTTTTTAGCTCATATCTCATTCGTTTTAATTTGGAATTGGGCTTATGAAATATCGTTGAAAAACTTATTTCAAGGGCTATTCTCGGTTTTGGAATGCGATTAAGAAAAGAGAAAAATAGGCTAAGGGTTATGGATCATTAGGGCTAAGAAAAAGGTTTACATGGATATTTGGGCTACAAATGGATTGGATTAGGTGGATTACAATAGAAATTAATGGGCTAAGAGTTCAAGAAATTCACAGATCTAATACACAACCTGATTAAATGGCGGTGAAAGCTCACTCATCATCGAGTTTGAGTTGGGGAGACACAACTAGGTGTCTATAGATCGTGAATGAAATAATGTTAGTGACTTCAAAAAGTTTATGAATTTAAATTAATCTAAATTTAAATAGAGTTTAGATTTGTCAAGATATCAACCTTTCACGCCTAAATGTCTCTTTGAAATGCTTAAAGGAATAATGATGAATAATATTAAAAGTGTAAAATTGGGCTGGTTATACGTATTAATCGGTGCCTAGGATCCTTATAGGCAAGGATGCAGAAGAAAGATAAAGCTGGCAAAGGATTAACATGCCACATCGAAAATTAACGTTACACATCATTAGCATTTGACATTACGTGGAAAAATGATGTGGCAAGGCAGATGTACACGATTTTACACGAAAAATCGAGAAAAATGAAAAAGATTACATGGACGTAAAGCGGCATTCCACATTTCAGTGGACATGACATGATAGAAATTGACATTGCACGAATGCGCGGCGCGTTAAAACAGGTCGTACGCAGTTTGTTAAAAATTCCATAACTTTTAAATCCAAACACAGAATAAGTCAAATAAGATACCATTGGGAAGATCTTGCATTTTGCTTTCTAGCTCAATTAGAATTAAGTCAAAATCAACTTTAGATTTTCTTATATGAACAAAATCGTGCAAGGGTGTCGATTTTGGCTTGAATCTAGTATTTTACGTGTATCTCATTCGTTTTAAATCAGAGTTGGGCTTATTATGACATATCCATCATTGGAAAGCTTATTTCAAGAGCTATTAAACCACATAAGGTTTGAAAAAAAATTATGAGGCTCAAAAACAATTTTGCATGACAATAGGGTATGGGCTTAAATGGGTTTAAATAAAATGGTTTAGGGGTTATAAAAAGGAAAAGGGCTAGGATAAAGGAAATCAAAGAATTCTCTGATCTGATATGCAATCCGACAAAATGGCGATGAAAGGTTACTCATCATTAGGTTATAAATAACCTATTCTTATGTAATGTGTTAAGTGTAGCTATATGAGTATGAGGATAACAAACATTAAAATTACTAAGACCGTATTATATATGGATAAAAATTACAATCCATTTTTGTTAAAAATATAAATATTAATTGGTTCAAAAGTGATGCCAATAATTTAGTGTGTCTAATACTTGTATTGCGAATCACTAAGGGTGTTCAAAAAGACCTGACCTGTTTGACCCGACCCGCTAACCCGCAAAATACTCAACGGGTATTCGTTGAATTTTTGCCATTTTTGCGGGTCGAGGCACTCGACGTGCTAAAATATTAGATTTGCAGGTCGAGTAATGGGCCGCCCTTTGAGTGTCACGGGTACTCGTTAAATACCCGGATTTTTTTTTCTTGGTTGGATGGCACTTTACTCCATTAGGGACTTAGGGTTACTTACTAAATACCCACTTTACTGGGCTTAGTGAGTAGTCGTTTCATTTACACACCTTACCTCTCTTCTTTCTCATCTCTCAAACACGCGACCACCGTACCTCACTTGTGGCGACCACCAACCTCACTCTTGGCAACCATCATACCTCACTCTCAGACAAACACCGCACCTCTGTCAGTCCGCGACCACCGAACCTCCATCAGACCCTTACTCAGTCGCACCTCAATTCGTTCAATAAATTGCAGTAGGTTTTCTTTTTGGTGGAAGCAGGTTTTTTTGAAGCTGAATTTCTTTATTGATGCCTTGGTAGAAGCCGGATCTTTTTTTTTTATCGAAAAACACATAATTTTTTTTTTTTTTTTGTGAAAACAGTAGGGTTTTTTTTTTGTAAAAAAAACACATCAGTTTCTGTTTTTAATGAAATACATAAAAATATCAGGTTTTAAAGCCATGTACAACATAATTTATTTTTTAAAAAAAAATGAAAAAAAACATATATTAAAATACCGGGTACCCAGTGAGGATCGCTTTTACCGGGTCGGGTAATGGCCGCCCAAATCACTACCCGCACTTCCGGGTACACAAAATCCCGGGTATCCGGTTATGAGCACCCCTAGAAATCACCCTCCCTATTCCATTAAAAAAATGCTACAAATATGATCACTAAAAAATACATAGTAACAAATGGTGTCTCATGAAATTGTAAAGATAACATTACACAAGTATCATATAAAATTATTTATTATGTAACTATAAACACAATTTAATAACACATCTACTATATCAGTTGTCATCATCGCGAGATTGAAATTTGAAGTAATCTAGATTGGATCCAACATCTTCAAGTGATTTAGAGAAAAAGTTTTTGACAAGCTTGTCAGTTGAGAATTTCCTATAAATAGGTGGATTTTCTTTAGATGTTAGCTCCTTTATTGGACCATGTATCTTCTCGGATGAGATAACACCATTAAAAAATATTGCAATTGAAAGCCTTGGTCTAACACTTTTTGTAATCACTCTATGACAAGCACCTTTTATCAAATCATTTGTTATTATTTGTAAAATATAAGATAAGAGTTATAAGTATTGTATCACAACAATATAATACTTGAAATTTTCAAAGCAATCTAATTGAAAAAACCTGAAGTATAAAAACAAAGTTAATAAGGTATAAAAACAAAACTTGAAGTATATTTCCAAAGTTAACAATCAAACCATCGGTAACAGACTCAATATTAACCCATTTGTTTTCATGAAGAACCTGGAGTCCACCAATATTGTCTTGTAAGAGTACTGTGATAAATGAAGTATCAACATGAGCGTCGGTTCCCATAGTCAATTCTAGTTCTGGACATGGTGGGTAATAATTGTTAGCTAAAGCCCAACTTTTTGTACATTTTGCCATATTTCCAAGACACTCAGGCTCAAGTCCAAGACTTACTGATATTAACATAAGTATGCGATCACCAATCTTATGAATGTGATTAATGTACTCCAATGTCACATCTCTGCAAAAAGAATTATATATATACATATATATATATATATATATATATAATTCAAAATCAATTGACTTGTAAATCAACTAAACTTGCGTTAAAGTTTGCACTTGTCAAGAAGAAATCCATAGGTGACTTTATTTACACATATTATAATAAAAATTCAAAGGCTAACATATATACTAGCTTAATAATCTGTTGCTTCTTATATTGAAGGATGTCACCGGTATGCATCTAGAACGAATTCTTTTGATCTACATGTATTCTCTCAATGCCGCAGATTTGACGAGATTTTTCAAATTCAAATCAAGATCCATCGAATCCATATGTAATTTTATTTGTTGTTAAATAGTTATTATTTTATATATTTCTTTGACAATAAATCAAGTGAAAAATAATATATTTTTTTTAGTTCATTTATTAAACTTACATGCTTGCACCATCAATTTTCCAAAATAAAAAAATAACCTTTTTTAAAAAATGATTCTCCTATGCCATTATAATTAAACGTTTCATTAAGCCATATTTTCCAACATATACTTTTGAACTTTATATAATATTGATATTTGAAATATAGTGATTGAGATAAATGAATACATTTTTTCATAAGAATAAATCATAAAATAAAGTCAAAGTAACTTATGTGTATAGTGCCCAAAGCCTAAAAGTATCAACTAAAAAGAAATGAACGATGTTAATTATAGAAATAAAGAAGTTACATATAAACAACATTATAAGAAATAAAACTTAATGTGTAAATATTATTTCTGTTACATATAATTTGGAACTTTGGAGTGCCTCTAGGATTCCAATGCAAAATTTGCTTGAGAGTATAACATAGAGAGAGAAAAATTATTGATGCATGTGTTGAGAAGACAGATATAGATCAATGTCATCCTAAAAGGGAAGGAAAACATTTGCTGCAAGTATTAGGTAGCATCTACATTTGGTAAAAGTTGCAAACAATATGAAATGAATTTAGTATATTTTAATTTTTATTAGGAAAGTCAAATTAAACATTATATAATATAGATTAGATTATACCCAAGCAAATGAAAGTTAGAATGAAGTTTTTTTATTTAAAAATGAAGAAATTTTTTATTATATTAATTATGATTCAAATTAGTAAATTAGTGAACCATTTATCAACTGTAATTTTAAGTACTAATTTAAAAACTTTTTATAAAAAAACAAAAGAAAAAAAAACCTTCGTAAAGGAAAAATATAAATAAGTGAATATTGTTTTGATAAATTATGAAATAGGTTTACTGATCGAATCTAGATGTCAAAAGCAAAATCTAGACGTAGGTCTTGTCCGTGGAAAATTGTTCTGAATCCGTTGGTCTAAAATTAGAAGATTTTTAATCCTATAAAATGGAACTAGATTCACATGATTAGGATACAATTCAGGAGCCATTTCCATCTCTACATATATTACTAATTTGCTCACAAACTAAATTAAAGCTTAATGCACTTTTTTTTATATTTAATTAGAAGACAAATTATGTATATGGGCTAAAAATAATATTATGCCCTTTGCCCTCCAATTAAAAGCCATTGGTGTAGGTGTTAAGAAGTAGAATAAAAATTAGGGTGGAGGTTGGTTGTTTAAAGGTATACATACATATATGCATACACACATAATAAATATCAGAATTAGGAACTAATCTAGACCCTTAAATCAATCTAATCGGACGAATAAGGTGTTCAATAACATTCTTATAATTATGCAATCTCTTAAACTGATTCCATTTTTTTTTTGGACTTTTAAGGCAATTTTACTTTATGATAGATTTTATTTACTTTTAATTACTAATTTTTCATTTACTTTTTAGATAAGAAATTGGAAACTACTTTGTAAAGTTAAAATATTACGAATAATGTCATTTATGACACGGAAGCATGTGGACTGTTTGATTAACATGATCTAAGGGCTTAGATTAGTTCCTAGTTCTCATTTTAGCCTTGGTTCTCATTATTATACTTGGTTCTATTATTATTTGGTAGTTAGGTTTGGATGTTTAAAAGAAATTAAAATTAAGTAAAGGTAAAATGTATAATTTTTTTTTTCAATAAGAGATTTGTAATAAGAGACAAAGCTTATGGGTGAATTGAGACTTTTTAAGGGTAAGGAGGGATCAAATTATATATATATTATGCATAATAGCCCCAATTTTGTAAATCAAATTTGGAAGATAAATAAGTGTACGTCGTGTGAGAAAGACATAAATATACCTACAGATAAGAGGCAACTCTGTAGGATCAACTTCACCGCCGGTATTTCGAGCGTTGACATACAAAGTGTCCCTCCAATTTGCAGCCTTTGACTGGTACAAGTCATGGTTGCTAAAAAAGTACACATGCTTTGATTGAAAATCGCGACTATAAATTTTTTTTCTTAATTTCAACATCTTGTTCATGAAACATTCGATTTCGGTATATCATTCTTTTTATTAGTTTATTTGGAATCCCATGGTTTATAACTTGAAAAAAACCCCCATTTTTTTGATGCCATAATAATTTTCTTAGTAATCTCAACAGTCTGATCTTTATTTTCACTAAGATAAGAAAAGTCTATTATTGGCACACTTATATTTTCGCAACTTGTACCAAAATCTTTCAAACGATCCTCTAGTGGTCTAACAAACATGTTAGGAATTTTTTTGATTCCAGCATCTTTAAGCCCTTTAACCCCAAGTTTTCCTTCATCGAACGCTTTGAGTTCATCATTACGATCATAGCGAATTTGTGTTTCATTGAGGGAAATTTGGGTGTTCATTAGATCCTAAAATCTTTCCTTGTAAAGAGTTTTGTTTTTGGCTTAGATTAATTTAGAGTTGATGAAAACTATGAGAAGAATCATACATTATATAATATTAGTGGATTAGATGTATGAGGAAATCAAGGCATAACCAACTTGCTTGTCCATGTACACCTCATTAATTGGAAATAAATACTAGACAACTAAACTAGTGCATAAAATGTCGGCATGATGCCATTTCTTTATCAAGTGAGAAAAAATCAAGCAAATAAACCAATAAAAAAATAATTTCTTAGAGCTATAAAAAATTAGTTAGATTGTCTTGTTTAATCAATTATTTGACGAGTTTGCATACTCTTCACGCCATACACTTAGTTTGATTACAAGTTACACCTATATTTTTTTTCCAAATAATTCAACAGTTTGTCTAATACGGTACTTTATGTTGTTGAGTTAAATTTGTTAAAATTTTGTGTACGCGTAGGTTCATTGGGAATAAAAAATGATAACAAAAAGTAATTGTGGATGAATAGATTATGAGGATGCTCAAGTTTATCTTTGTGATAAATAATTTTTGTTTTTGGTAAATAAATCAACAACTTTACCTAGTTGTCATCAATTGTAGGCCTACTTTTGATATAAAATTGTTAAGGTATTCACAAAATTGCTATGTGATGAACAAAAATTATTTAACTTAAAGGTATATTTGTATTTTCTGATAGCTTATGTTAAAGTAACAATGTGAGAGAAGAAAGGATAAGAGTGGGGACCATGTGAGGAGTGAAATATAATAAAATAATTTGGATTATTTATATTCAAGAAGTGTTGCATTTTTACAAAAAAGGTCGATTATAGAAAGTGTTGTACTAAAAAATCGGAGGGAGTAGTTCTTTAGCTTGGATATCATATTTCTTTAGCTTCATTCATTTATATCCACAAAAGGAAAAGGAAAAATTGCCCCGGATAATCCCACCTTTGGGCCGTCCGCTGAAAATAATCCCACCTTTGGATTATTTTTAAATAATCCCACCTTTACCCCCCCGATCTTTTTTAATGGTCCCAACCGGTTAGTTAACTTGTTATAGCAAGTTACTAGCCACGTGTCGGCACCTGATTAGTCCAAAAAATAAAGTTTTAAAAAAAATTAATTTTTTTTTTAAATAAATATAGAAACCACCCACCAACCAAACCACCTCCTCTGCCACCAATCCCGGCGCGTCGGCCTCCCCTGCCACCATTCCCGGCGCGCCGGCCTCCCCTGCCACCCCCACCCTGAACCATAGTCGGACCCCTCCCCTGATCCACTCTCGAACCCCTCCCTCCCTCACGAACCTCCACATGAACCACCCTCAAACCCTCACGAAACCAAGCCAACCCCATTCACGCGGCTCCGACGAGCCAGCCCTTAAACCCAGCTCCGGCTTACCCTCCCCCGAACCACCAACCCTTTCCCTCACTCCTTCCCCCGCGAAAACCCAGCCCTTAAACCCAGGCTCTGTCCGCGAAAACCCAGCCCTTAAACCTAGGCTCCGTCCGCGAAAACCCACCAACTCCCTTAAACCCAGCTCCGACACCCGACTTTCCCCATCCCCATATTGCGTTCAGTCACGTCAATCTCCCTCGTCCACCGTTTGTAGCCGCGTCGTCGAACTCCCCTGTCCCGATTCCGGTCAGCGCGGTGGTTTCAGGTGTGGGTGGAATGGTGGTTCTAGGGTTTAGGTTGGGGTGGTGGTGGTTGAATTGGTGTGGCTTAGGTGGTGGTGGTGTTTTTTACTATTTTTTTTTTTACTAATCAAGGAGCGACACATGTAAATTCTACTTAAAAAAAAATTACCTGCTCAACCGGTTCCAAGTAAAATGGGACCATTTTTAGCGGAGTGGGTATAAAGGTGGGATATTTTCAGCGGACGGCCCATAGGTGGGATTATTCCGGGCAATTTTTCCAAAGGAAAAAATAATGTATAATTTGGATTGCCACAAAAATCCTTGCCAACTTTAAGTGAGATATAGTTTTAGTATTTTTCTCGTGATTTCATTTGACCTTTTGCAAGAAGTAATTTGGTGAATTCATTTGCCTCATTAATGCTTATTAATAAAATTACAATACATAAATTAAAATTAAAATACAATGAACAACCTTATCTTATATATAATTTAAGAGTTATTTTGCAACACTTAACTACAGCACTCCAA